GTGTGTGTGTGTGTGTGAGTGTGAGTGTGTGTGTGTGTGTGAGTGTGTGTGAGTATGTGAGTGTATGTGTGACTGTGTGTGTGTGACTGTGTGTGTGTGAGTGTGTGTGTGTGTGAGTGTGTGTGTGAGTGTGTGTGCGCGCGCCCCCGCGAGCGCCCTGTGCCCATCTGGTTCCAGTCCGGGTAGGGTCCGTAAGTCAGCCCCACCCCTCTCGCCTGCCCCCCAGTCCCCCCTCTGTCCATAAGCCCGGGGCTCCGAGCCCTGTCACCCAGGGCTGCAATAGCAGTTGTTTGCCTGGGAAAGGAGATTCAAACCCAGGAGCGATACTGGGTCCGGTAAACAAGAAAACACACTCCTGGCCACGCCGTTCAGGACGCTTCATCTGCCGTGGTCATAACTGCCCCTACCTGGCCACCCTGGATCTGCCCTGGGCACAGGGAGGCTGGGAGGCCAGGGCCCCCCCGCCCTTGGCTCTCCCTTTGCAGCAGAGGCTCGAGAACGAAGCGCCAACTCCCTGTCCCACGGGGCGCGCCGCAGACCCCTCGCCCCACGCCCGTCTCCATCCCCTGGACCCACCCAGGAGCGGCGCGGGCGCGGGAGGTGTGGTGCGGCGGGAGCTTGCGGTCGGAGCCGCCGCTCTCCCCGCGCTCGGGACCTGGGCAGAGGGGACGGGCATCTAAGAGCTGCTGTTTCCCAAGGTCTGGGCACAGGGCTGCCCCTCCCTTCCTCCCCGAAGTTTGCATGAAGCGCACGTTAGGCTGTAATTAGGGATTTGGGAGGAAAACTTTCCTGGTGACGCTTTGCTTTTCTTCTGCTCGTGGTGAGAAAGTGCCTCCTTCTTCCCAGGACCAGGACCTCTGCCATCCAGCGCCACAAAGAGACATTCTGCACACACACACACTCACAGGCTCACTCACACGCGCGCGCACACACCCTTGCCCAGAGACAAACTTAAGGTGAGGGGAAAGAGCTCGAGCTTCACTTGATCTCCAGGCTCCAACTTCAGCAGGACTTGGGAGCATCTGAACTTCTGGATTTCGGGACAAGGTAAAACTTCCACAACTTTTTTACTCTTTTGGCCGCACCTTGGTGCCTTTAGGATTTCAGAAAGCAATCCGGATCATGATCTCTGTATACATGAAAACAAATTTTCTTATTTTCTTTAATTTTCTTTTGAGTTTAATGCGGCATCTCAACTTCTTTTAGGATTCATGTCCGATAAAAGACTGCATTGCAATAAAGAAGCTCAGGTTGGAACTGGGGCAGGGATTAAGTCTGGTATCCTGGCATTTGGGAGTGCTACTATAAATCTGGTGGATGCCTACTTTCCAGGGGTGACTTTTCTATCTGTATTTCAACAGGCATTTTTATAGCACCTGAGATGAAAAAGAGAATAGTGTCGGCTGAAGGAAATGCTGAGGAATGGCACTGTCCGTTCCAGGCTTATGAGTTATGTTTTAGGGAACATATAGGTGTATGTGAAAGTAGAAGTTCCTGTAATCATAGGTAATGGCTGTTAGAGTGATCATCTTTGAGATGTTACCAATTTTGGTCCAGGCTTCTCCAGTTCACTGTGAAATAAAGACCATAGAATTATGATGCATTTCATATATAGAATCAGGTTGATAGATAATGTTAATATGCAAAAAAAATGTTGTCATAGTTGTTAAGATTACTTTTAAAGTTGATTAAAGGAATTATTTATGTGTTGAGATTGTTCACCAACCTAAGCAAATTTGAACTCTTTTGGGCTTAAATGAAGTTGCTTTCCTCCAATGAGTATGACTGTTGTGTTGAAAATAAGATAGTTTATTATTTTGAAAATAAGTTATTCAATTTTCATTTATCACTGGAAAAATACACAAAGTGGCCAGTACATTTGGGAATTTTTAGGGTGGAAAGTGTTCCTGTACATGTTCCAGCGTGATGTCATAAAGTCAAACACACTGGCTGGCTTCTTGGAAGCTAACGGTTCTTAAGAAATGAAGCCTGTGAATTAATTTCTAAGTGAAATATAATATTTATTCATTACAAATGTAGTTTCTGGTAACCATTTTTACTTGATTATTTCAGTGTACTAAGTTTGAAGTAATTTTATACACACTTCAGTGACTTTGATATTTTAATGGAATCATAAAATGGGAATATTGTTCTACCAAAAATATATCATAGTAGTTCTCTTTGGATAACTTTTAGTGTGATGTTTCTTAATCTTTACATCAGATTTTAACTTCAGTTCCATTTATTTCTACTTATAAAGAAGTTTCTCCTTCGATTCAGTAAAATAGAATGTATGCCAAAGGTTTGTTGAGCATGTAAGCTTTAGTCATTAGTTACTTTGGGGCTATCTGTTATTAATAATTTCATTGTTTATGCTAAGAGAAAATGACTTTACATTTTTGGTAGTCTCTTCATAAAATTGGTAGCAGCTTAAAATGGGAAAACTTGATAATGAGGAATAATTTTGCTCAAATCTAATTAAATGAGCAAGAGAAAACCAATAGCTTCCAGAGACCACGGGTCCCCAGAAGAATGTACCCAGAGCCCAGTATTCCAAACAGGAGTGTCAGTGAGCCTGGGCTCTCTATGAGAAACAAGCAAGAAGGGACATCACATAAAGGGAGCCATTTATGTCGGCAAGGCCCTGTCCCTCAGAGGAATGACTGACACTGTAATTTAGAAGTACTGAGACTTTCACGGGGAAGAATCAATTCATTATATCCCCAGTGGTTTCTCCCCCTTTTCATTCCTTTGGTAGCAAGTAACACATCCAGGAGAAATGTGTTCAGAGTCTGCAGAGCAGGCGCAGACGGCTGTCCTGCTTTTCAGTGTAGAATACTGGTCTTCTGCGGTCCAGTCCTGCCTGGGTGTGGAATATTGGGATTTTCCCAGTAGTTGAGGCATCTTTGAGCCCTTAGGTAGCACTGCGCTTCACCTTTGTAAAGATGAACACGAGGCGTATTCAGAAAATAGCTCCTCTTTCCAGAAAGTACTAGCCCTGGTTTTCTTTTCATTCCTGGTATGTTTTATCTTTCAGGCTATATTTTTAAGATAATGGTGTTCCACCAATTAAAATTCCAACAAAATACAAAGCAAATTTGAAAATAACTTTTATACTATAGCCTTGTGTTGCCTCTGGTTAGTTTTCCAACAGCCTGGATTTACTACTAGTAACCATAGTACCTGGCCTATGTTATTTAAATATTCTTAGTCTGTTATTTAAAGGAAACAAATGTTGTTCGGGGGGGAAATAGGGAGGGATGGAAACCTGACTACACTTAGGANTGGGGGGGGGGAAATAGGGAGGGATGGAAACCTGACTACACTTAGGATTTTAATCAATAGTGTTTAAGGAGGATTAGAGGAAGCAGCTGGTTAAATAAATATTAGGTGGAGAGTGGACGTGATGGTATAAATTAATAATGCAGCTCTTTATTTACACCATGAATGGAAAGGTCTGTGACGGTTCCGTGTGTGAAGCGCGGTCCCTGGGTGCCACCTAGTGGATAAGTCAAAACAGGCGTCCTCACCAGCCTCCAGCTAAAAAATTCTGTGACTCCATTCTGTTGACACTGAGCGCAAACTCTATGCCAGACGTCAGGGTAGGTGCTCAGAGTAGAAACTACAGCAAGTGACTTTTATATAATTTAAAAAACAAGGCACCACTTAACATTGATTAAATTCCCGGTGGTTGCATTTAAAATCCCTCTACTCTTTACTGGGTAATTTACCATCAACTTTCTTCCTCTGTGAGGATACAGTTTAATGACTGTAACTCGCTTCTAATATAGGATTTGTGTTTTACAGAGTTTTCATGACCCAGTTCCAAAAAGAGTGGGAGAGTTGGAATCTTGAATTACCGTTCTTTCAAATGGAAATGAATTTCTGTAAAGTTTATTGTTTTAAAGTTTAAAAGGGTAAATAATTACCAGTTTAAAAGGTTAGCATATAGATAGTAGCACATGTTACTACATATTTAGATTTTTCATTATATATGAAAGGATAATAGTAAAATTGCTTTTGGGTAGTGAGGTTTGCGTTTTGTTTTGTTTTTTCAAAATATTGCTCTCAAGCTTTAATAATTAGCATGTAGAACGACTGCTCTCTACCTGTTATTCATATGCAGTTTTGAAGCAGGAGCATTGCTTCCATTAAATTGCCATAATGGAAAAAAAAAAACCCACACAGGAACAATTATGAGGAAAGGCAGTGTTTGAAAGAAGCATTGGGTATTAGAGAAGATTAATCCATCAGCATATTAAACTGAGAGTTTTGAAAAACTTTTCTCCTGGAGATATATGAATTATTGCTCCAATTGGCTCTCTGCAAGATCTATGACTTAATGGTAACGGTGTTCAGCACATCAGCATTAATCAAGACCAGCTCTGAAATTCAGATTGGAAGGTAAAATGCCTCAGTAGGGGGAAAAAAATGATTAATTTGTTACTTGCTGAGTCTAGAGGTATAATCCATAAATCGAGTTAGGCCTGCCCGTGTGAAACGGAAGTTTCCTATTTAGGGAACTTTGGTTTTGTGTGTAGCAGTGAGACCTACGTGGTGAAGGAAGGGTGCTGCTCATCAAGTTACACTAGTACTATGTGCTGTGGCCCTCACTTTATACCTGGAAAATTAATTCTAAAAAACCAGGAAGTCAAAACTGATGATAATGAATCTAAAATATCGCAGGAGCCTGAGTAATAGAAACAACCAAAAATTCTGGGAGCATAGTTTTTGTTTTTAGAGAATTTTGAGCAGGCATCTTGAAAGTCTTTCTCCCTTGTTTGCCATCTCCTGGCTGTGTAGACAAGAGTTTTGTTTCTTGGTTGTGTGGACACAGATGGGCCTGGGAGGGCAGCTCTCACACTCCAGAGCCCCAGGAGGGCTAGGGTTCCAACAATATGTCTAGTTGGATGGACAGGAAAGCAAAAATTCATTTACACATGGTTGCTGTCCACCAGTTTGCAACTAAAATTCAGATCGAACACAGAATGATTTAGAGCTCACCATTTGTACCAGGCACCATGCTAGGTGTTGCAGAGAGATTGGCTCGAAGAGTTCACAAGCTAGTGGAGAAGACAGATGGATGTACATCATGAATCACTAGTAAAATGTGCCAAGTAGGTGCAGTTCCCCTTCTTAGTCTCCTGGGTCTTTTTCCTTTGAACTTACTCAAACTTTCCACCCCCCTCTACCTCATATACTGAGACTCCTGCTCCCCACCCCTCACCCCAGAGGATCTGATACTTCTCTGGTTTATGGATTTCTTGACCGACTGATTACACACATAAGTGTGAATGACTTTCACTCATGCATTTACATTTCAAGCCTTTTATCTCTTTAAAGTAAATGTTTTGTTTTCTGTAAAAAAAATTTCAAACATCTGGAGGCCTAGCCATCTTTACACCAAAGGGTGTAATTAAGCTGATTTAGTTCTTCATGGTCTTCAATCTCTCAGTGAACTCTACTCCAACCTGAGGCCACAGGGATTCCCTCAAGGCCTATTTATAGCAACTTGAAGGAACTTGGGTCCTGTGAACCCCTGGCTCCCTCTAGCTGAGGCTGATCAAACTGTCCTCCCACCCTGCCCCTATCCCAAGGGGCATCCAAACCCATTCTTTTGGAGCCTTCCTGCTCACTTTACCATAACCTACTTTCAGGTCCTCTCAGCCCTCATTCCCATGATCGGGCTGCTGGCCCTGAACAAGCAGAGCACCTACAGCTTGTTACGTTCTACCCTTTGAGCCCCTGTGCCACCCCAAATATCTGGGTCTAGAGGGAGGGAGCAATGAGAATCCACATATTTGGCCCAAGAATTCCTCTAAGTCAGGGGGCTGAAGGAGGAGACAGGAGTATGCACAGGGCAAGCACAGGGTAAGCCATCACAGGAAAACATCGGTCAAAGCCAGCATCTTCTTAAACTGTGTGGCTAGGTTCTAACTGCAACTGGTTTCAGAGAAATTTTGACATCCATGCTGATTATAGATTCTGGAAAACTAACTGGAGAAAAAGAAATAGTGAACATTTGCTTTGACTTTATACAAATAACA